TTGGCACATGCTAACCTGAGAAATGAATACCTGAATATTTAAAAAAAAATGCAACAAATGTCCAAATGTCTTTAGTTCCATGAGACACGTTTCACCACACATTTCAAATGTAGATTACAACCTGCTTCTCTCTCGACTGGCGTGTTCTAGCCTGAAAATCAAACGTATTTGATACCGACCGTGAGCAGTCGTGGACCTGCCACTCTCCCTAGGATGCCACACGTAAACTCACGAAACTTCGTTCAGACGGAGGCATTTTCACGAACCCGAGAATCACGCTTCGTTATAACGCGGCCTTTGATTTTCAGGTGTGGACACACCAAACGGGAGCGAGTGGAATTATAATCTATCTTTGCAATGTGTGGTGAAACGCGTTCCAAAAAAAAATCTCGACTTTTGAAGCATTATTTTAAATCTTAACACGTTCGCTGCCGCTGGCTCTTATAAGGTTCAACGCGAGAGCACAAATTAGTAAAACGTGATTTAGATGGTAAAAAACAAGTATCCAGAAAAAGATGCCAGTCTTGTAGTAAGAAGGGAATCCGTACCCAAACGATGTACGAATGTAGAACATGCCCTGATGTTCCAGGATTCTGCTTGGAGTGCAGTGACATTATTTACAAATAATTTTTTGCACTAAAAATAGTCTGCATTCACCACAAATTCATGTTTGTATTCTAAAAAAAATTGTTTCATTATTTTTGATTAGATGTTATCACATTTGGTGTATTATTCACCGGAAAAGTTTTTGTTATACTTTCATATGTTCTCTACTTTGAGTTACAAAAATTATTTTTAATATTTTATTTTTGTTAAAGGTCCATAATAAATGTTTTTTTTTTGCTTTTAGTTTATTTCTATTATAAAAAACAAATAATTATCTTCCGACTCTCATTAGCGCCAGCTGGCACACAGAAAACCGATTTGTAAGTCAATGCCGTCGGCTTTTAGAAGAGCTACAAAAAATCTTCTAACTAAAAAAACATTTTACGAAAATACCTCAATAACTGATTTTACGAAGTTATACTACCAAAATAACCATTATACAACTAATTGGCTCCTGGGTAAAACCAACCGAAAAAAGGTGGCAGTCAACGTGTTAAGGGTGTATTTCTAAGTTCAGCGTGTGTTCTCAAAAAATTCTTCCTCCTGACCAACAAAATTTTGTTATTATTTTTTTATCTGTTCACTCAACCTTCTCGCTAACTCGCCACTAAAATGTGAATTCAAAAGAGCACAACCATCAATCATAAGCTCCTTCATGATGGTCTGCGTGGAATAAACTGAATCGTAATGGCGTGAACTGTCCTCGGCCCTCGCTAGTTTACCTTCCCACTCAAGACAAAAGTCACGAAAGACAGTGTTCCACGATGTCTTTTTTACCCCGTGGGAACGTAACTTTAAGATAGTCCACACATCGCCCTTGGAATGTTTTAGAAACACTCTGTATTTCAGAAATACAAGTAATAGGTCAGTCAAACACGATCACCATACAAGGGCTCAGAGTCATACAGTATATGTATCGAAATTTGCTAAAAATTTGGGCAAAGAAGCCTAACTTTTCTACAACCAAAATTGCCTGTACACTTAAAAGAATGCCTGCATAATAGCAAACAGAAAAGAGATTTTTGACTACTCACCTAAGATTGTCCATATAACCGATATTGTCACTTTCCCTGAATTTCAGAACAAACCCTGATACTGTCAGAAACCCCCAGATATGTCATTTTTTCAATATATACGTAACAGTTAGATATAAGGCACAAGCACAAGTTGTTCAACTTTTTTGGGACTACCTGTTTATTGCAACTTTTAATTTTTACTCGCCACGCCTACTGGCGGGGAAGTATTGTAATCGCGAAAATAATGTAACGTATAATGACATGTACAGGTACATCACGAAAAACCATGTCACTCATTTCCATCGGTCTGTCTGTCAATCTGTTCGCTAATCTTATTGCCGCCTATAACTTGAGAAGTACCACTCGGATTTCGATGAAATTTTTACACAATGTTGCTACTATGCCAAGGACGGGTTTTTGAAAATCGGTCTAGTGGCGGCGAAGAAGGCCAAAAAGAAAAAAATAAAACCGCTCAAACTTCGTTTGTGACATTTCAGACGATCCTGATTATTTTCGGAAACATTTTTGTAATGGTTAAAAATTGAGGGTTAAGGGTTGCAGGGGGTGGAGCAGGGTATATCAGAATTTTTTGACGTTGATATATCTATCCGCCTCCAAGCCCAGTCGTTCTACGCACATATTAGACATATTTCACTCATCATAGATTTACCCTTAACACTTGGAAATGTTTTCTACAGTAGGGTGTCGATACAAGAGACGTGGTCCTCGGGATGGACAAGCGTCGTCGTCGATGGTTGTCGTACATCACAGTCGGCAATTGTTTCCGCACTGCTGCGGTGCTGTGGGCTGGGCTGTGTGCACTGTGCATGGTCAAAGCCAATATCGTCAGTCACGCGGGATCTCAACGATTACGTGCATCTGCGTCATCTCTCCTCTGGGGGAGGAGTCGGGTCATTTAATTTTTTTTATACATCTTCCTGGTTAACTTTGTTCTCAGAAGGTCTAACTTATGCCAAACATAATCTTGTACGAACTGATGACAGCGTAGTCAGCTTACATGACGCGATTTTTTATTTTGTTATTTGTATATTTTTTCGCGATAAACACTGTTATTATTATTATTCAAAAATCAATCAAAAAAGACTTATTTATCCCATTTCTGCTCCAGACCACCGTTTCCCCGTGGACGGAGCCGTGGAGCTGCACTTTTCTCCGGGCGGCGAGGCCAGGCATCCGGTTCCGGCACCCACGCCGGCAGTACCCGTCTCGCCCGCCAACGACGATCCCATTGTTAGGATGGACAGTCCTCTTCTAATTGAGGATTACGAACCGAATGGGGACTATGATGATGGTGAGTACCTTGCCTTTCAATACTGTTTGTCTTTTGAGATCAAGTTTTAGATTAAGCTAGGTGGATTACGATTTTTACTTCCCACGCCTACTCGCTGAGAAAGTATTATGATCGCGGAAATTTTCGAAAATTAGATATATTTTTTGCATGTTGACATTGTCAGCCGGGCCACCACTGTAACCGCTAAATGCCGCCGATTCTGGTGCATCTAATGATGAGTGCGTCTCAGACCACTTCTATCACCTGGTGTCGTTTCTTCTTAAAGTGTTTTGTTGACTTTCAGACTTGAATAACTTTCGCGCGCTTACTGAATCAACATTTTTTTGTTTGTATGTCTAGCTCGGGGTTTTCACAGAGCTGGATGTTAATATCTAGGAGAATGCGGCAACGCTTCAGTACATTGTAAATGGAATACCCTTAACTGAAACATTATATGAATAACATCAGATGTTTTTTAATTTAAATTCTCCTCGATTTGTTAACAGTTTTCTTTATTAAGCTTTTTTATCAACCCCTCTCACGAGTAAATCTTATGCAGAGCTCCGATACAAAATTTTAGAGACTACAAATAATTGAGTACTGACGGAAACCTTTCATATTTGGCACCGCCAACCTTGCTACGGACAAAACTTTTTTAATAGACAAATCGATCATTGCAGGAGAAGGGGTCCCTCACTTTTTCGACTGCTAAAAATGGCTACTAAAGACAAGACAGACTCTGCTTGTTTTTCGCCCCCGTAAGCATGACTAACCGTATACGGCGCCGTTTCATGCTGGTTAGCAATCATCAGCACGGTATAGGGTGTAGCTCTTGTCTTAGAGACAGACATCTTGATTCATACGTCAACGATGCAGAACGGCGCCTATGATTTCTTTCTTTTAAGTTAAATAAACTTTGTGAATACCATTTTTGAACTATTTAATCTGAGAAGAACTGGGAAAAACCTCCTCAGGTAGATTGTGAATTGACCAGTTCTGTATGTTCGAAGTTCGACGCCTTTAGGATAGGAGGCCGAAGTCAGGCGGACCTATTTAGCAGGCTCAGCGTGTGGCAGCATCATGGAGGAGAGCTCTGAGGAGCAAAGCCTGTTGACATAGAGGTGAAAGAGTACTAGATCGCATACGGCGCGTCGCATAGTGGGGCAGAATCCCAAAAAGTTGGCCAAAATTCAGGTCATCCAAACTGATAATACAGAGACAGACGGGCTTTACACGCTAGATGACAATGTTGAAAAGGCTCGTTGAGTTCTAAAAGCGTCGTAAATAATCACAAATTCTCTTCTCGGGGGTTTTTGGGGTCGCTGAATATGAATCTGTTATCAAAATTACGATTTTCAAAATGGCGGACCCAAAATGGCGGACATAATTTAACCAATTAGTCAAATAATCCAGTAAAAATATCCAATTGTATTTGTTTATGGTTTTTTAAACTCGCTGATTACGACTTGGTTATCAAAATGTTAATTTTCAAAATAGCAGACGCGCAGGATTCCGCAAAAATTTTCAAATAGAAAATATTTTATAATATTAGGTTTTAATGAGTAAAAAATCTTTGGAGCAATGTTTTTTATTTATCAAAAATTTCTTTTATAAAAAATTTGCAACAAAATGAGTATCTGTTATTCACTTCTAGTAACAAATATCTTGTACGTCATCTTCAATGTTCGAATCATTCGATTCGGATTCTGATGTTGACCCACTTGTATCTAAATCGGAATCGTTCTGTCTCTTGTCTGGTGACTTCAGGTTGTTTTAACAATTGTGGAGCTTCTTTATGTAAAGATTTCGCCGGTCTTTGGGGCAATGCTTGAGAGAAATTAATCTGCTGTTACTAAGAGCCGATTGAAGATATCTCTCAAATTCGATTCTCTAGAGCATTTCCTTGCATTATTTAATTTGTATTTCTTAATGTCCTTATTGCGTGACTCTTTTGCCTCTTCAGAAAGTTGTCCGATCGGCAAAAGGGCATATTTTTACAATTTCTGCTCCATGCATCAACACTTTATGTACAGATGTTGGAATGTAATACCATGGATATAAAGCAACAAAAAACGGGCAGTATTTACACAATAGTTTTTGAACTTTTCTTCGTCTATATCATACCTGCAAATTAACATTTAGAATAACATTAATCAATGTTTATAAACAGAAAATATACCAACGTACTGTAACGTAATAATTAATGCATTACAGTCACACGTCCATTATTGTCGCGCCACGTATTTGTCCCTAAAAATTAGTCGAACTATTCGTTGAGTACTCCTGAGCAGCCAGAGTTTTACTATATTATATTTCATACTATACACTATCACTTCCTTGTCGAAACAAGATTGAAACTCGCGAAGACATTTTTAAAACTACTTTAGAAAATCGATTTTAGAAAAAAAATCCACAATTGTTCATGTTTATTCGTTGTAAAATTTAAATATTTCAAACATAAAGTAAGCAACAACTGTGCATAACTATATATTCTGCATACCTTCAGAAAGCGATTCCATTTTGCACAATTCAAATTGAGATAGTTTCGTCTCTTTTTCCGGAACTTCGAAACAGGCCAGAATTTTTCGACGTGTACACTTGCTTAGTGCGTATCGAACGACGGTTGAATGTCGACTGATGTGAAGGCGACCCTAGAGCAAGTATATACCTGCCCCTGTCCGAAATTTCATTCCGGGACTATCTGTAAACAAGATTGCAATGTGAAACTCAAAATTTTGATTTTTGGCCAGCTTTTTAGGATTCTGCCCCACTGTGCGTCGGTGTGAAAGAGTCCCGAGACTGTTCGTTAGAGAAAGGGTAATGGATGACTCGGACAGCACTCCCCTGAACAGCATTGAGCATGCATAAGAGGGCAGGCAGCATGCCACAGCTGATCGAACGCTTTCGCGGCCAAACTTAAAGACGGTACCGTTGTAAGAAATTTGGTGAACTTTTATACGACAACAGATAACCTGGCAAAAAGGACGACTCCTTGACTGTCAAAAACCTACAAATGTTCACGTCTGACAATTGTCGGTGTGATGCTTAGCTAGCCATGGCTAGAAAAGCCTTAGCTCTACACCTCCGTTGGCATTTAACAGAAGCTCACTTACTTTTGTCAGGTTACCAGATGAATAATACTCTAGCTTTGTTCCAACAAAATGTTCAACTCATGTTAAGAACATATTTGTGTATATATATATATCCCTTAACTGGTCCGGTGCTCGACTAGTGACATAACTGGTCCGGCGTAGTCTGTGAGACGACGACGTTTTAAACGCAAAAATAAAACACAAAAAAAAGAATGTAATTATTTATTCAAAAACTGTCGATAGCTTGAACATAAATGATATATACTTCGTCAAAATACAAGTGATTGGGCATTGAATTGAGGACATATAAATAAAAGAAAAAAAAAAGGTACATAATTTTACAACTAAAAACTTATTATTTCCTAAATAATCATATCAGTAAGAGAAGTTTAAATGAGCTGATATTTTTTTCCAAGAATTCGTTTATAAGGCAATATATAACCATAAGACAGATGCAGATATGCAATGTTGAAGGTATTTTTCATTCCAGCAAGGCCGTAAGTTTATAGATTTGCGGTACAGTTTTTGCAGAGGGGATTCGTGCAAGTCAAGCATACTGGTTTTTTGCAATAAATACATAGATATTTGGTCATCCTCCGTTTGTTGCTAGGACATATATATGACAAATCCTACGTTTTTGAAGGACAAGATTTCCTCCATCATTAGTTTCTTGTTCTTCCGGGACTCTAAGTATCCTTCTAATCATAGTTCGAATTTCCCGTGGTATATTCATCATTGTCATGCGTCGTTTCATATGATCTTCCACCAACTGCATAGCTAACTGTTTTCCGAAATCGCTTTTTTCTGTTATTTTAGGATTGTTTTTATAACACTGATGGAGAATATAGGAATTTACCACGGAAATATCCAAGATACGAAAAAATATTGTCAATGGCCATCTTTGACTACGACGACTGGATGTACTTTTAGAACATTTTTCGTCAATGGAATCGACTCCTCCTTTATTTTCGTTATAATAAGTGATTATTTCGGGTTTGTTAGCTACTTGGTCAGTGTATTCTCTGTCGTGCATGGAAGATATCAGAATTGTGGCTTTTCCAACCTTCCCAACGTGGGAAATTATTGTACATTCCTCCCTAAATCCATAGAGTGTTGATCCTGCAGCTCTTTTGCGATTGGGTAGGAAAGTCTGTGGTATTTCGGCCTTATTTTTTTTTAGGGTCCCTACATATGTTAATTTTTTTTTTAGAAGGACGTCCACTAACTGTATTGATGAATACCAGTTATCAGCTGTAATGTTGCGATTGCTGTTGAAGAGTGGTGTTGCTAGGCGTAATACTGCTTGCGTAGGTTTTAAAAGTTTCTTATCTTCGTCACTGAGACCAAAACCATCCGAGTCTTTTCCGCAGTAGATGTAAGCATTGTATAAATAGCTATTACGCGCATCTGTCAAGCACTGAATTTTGAGACCATATTTTGCTGGCTTGTTTGGCATGTACATCTTGAAGCGACATCTCCCACGGAAATTAACCAGCATTTCGTCTACAGTAGCAGATTGCCCTAATCCATAAACACTTTGACAATTCTCTATGAAACTGTTGAATACAAAGGATATAGCTGCAGCAGGGTCATCCTTTTTGCGCTCCTCTCTATCGTCCCGATTATCAAATCTTATAGCAGCTAAAAGGACAGCAAATCTTTTCTTACTGAGAACTGCTCTAAATATGTCCCTACCTGTTCCATCTGTTGCAAATAGATGGTCCAGATGTTCATGACTTGAATTGAATACAGCTGTGTAGATAAGTAATCCAAAAAAAGCTTTCAACTCGGTTATATCTGTTTCCCTTAGGTGATGTTTTGAAACAGCAGAATATTTTTCACTCATTGAATTTAGTTTTTTGTTAGTGAACTGAGTAATATGTTCCAAAATATTATCACTAAAAAGTAAGCTCCAAACAGCCAGGGGGTCTGCTGTCTCGCCAAGCATACTTGCCTTTGACTTCAGTACAGGTACCTTCATGACAATATTGTGTCTTCGGACCTTAGATGATGGACGAACTTCTGAAGTGCACCACCTGTACCGATTTTTGCCATATATATATTTCTTTTCACTTTCAGGTGAGTCCAACTCATCACTCCCATTGTCCTCCTCACATTCAGATAATTCAGAATTAGTGTCATGCTCTGACTCAATATTATAGTCTTCCGACACGTCATCTATATCACTACCATCAGTTAATTCGTCATTCCACCTAGCTAGAGTTTCTTCATAATCCCGATCGCCCCAACGTACCCGTTTAGATGGCCCAGCCATAACTCCGTATCTGTGCACCACGTACTAAAGTAACGCAAACGGTCCGGCGTAGTCTGACAGACTACCGCACAAACATAATCGCTCCTAACTTAGGACACAAATGAGCAAAATTTACCGAAATACGCCTATTTTCAAGTGACCAATAGGGGAAGGATTAGACGGAGTGATGCGTCTGTAGGCGGTTCCAGTGGCGCGTAAACAGGATTTGTTATTACGGCGTAGTCTCTCAGACGACGCCGGACCAGTTAAGGGATATATATATATAGCAGAAGCTGCTAAGGGCTGCCCGACTGATCGATGACGCTTCTCTATCGGAAAGTCTCGGGACCCTTTGGCACCGACGGACCAGATCGGATTAACAAAGTTTCTTCAAGTTCAAGCTGCTCATAGCAGCCGCGATGTTGTGATATTCAAGCTTCTGCTTAAGCGGCTGCTTGGATAAAAAACATTTACTTTCCGATTTGAACACTATTACACTAGCATACACCAATCATCTGGATACGTGTGATATTCTAATTCCAATCTGCCTCAAGTAGATATTATTCAACGTAAAATGTATGCTGTTATTACGCCAAATATGGGAATAGGTACTATAATCCTTTTGCAGTGTCGAAACCCAGCAAATTGAGTAACAGAACAGAATAGCATAAAGAAAACTGCAATATAGAACAGTTGCCTTCCTTATACTGATATATCACATGGACTGTAGAAAGTTTTTGGTATAAAATTTATGATTGAACATAATTATAAATGCAAGAGTATTTTATTTCTAAAGGTGTCACGGCAGGATTCTAAATAACCAAGGCCATATATTATCCTAATTATCCTTTTTTGTAGCAGAAAAACTTTCTGATCAGCTGATTATCCCCAAATGACAATTCCATAAGATATTGCTGAATATGCTATCCATGAATATTAGTATAACAGTTCTTAATAAAATTGTCTATTTTCTTTCTTCAAATAAGAAATCATTGCCAGCGTGTCTTGCTTTTTTTTCTTCAGAAATTCTACTTTGGCAGCTCAGGTTTGGAAGAGTCATTTCTGCGTTAGTTTCAATAGTAACATTTTTCTTCAAAATCTTCGTTGTTTGCTAAGGCTATATTTCGTTCAGGACTTCTTGTGCGCTAACGAATCCGGGACTTTCTCGGTTAATATTGATTCACTGGGCTTTCGAAATTTGAAGCTTGGATGTATTGGTTGACCTTTCAGAAGCAACTTTAAAATTGAAAAAGTCCTCATTGATCATGATTGAAATTGTCATGATGTCACTCGTCGTTTTCTGACAGTTTTGATGGTATTTTCTCATTGCTTCTACAGCTGCTTCAGCTTTCCTGTAGTAGCGTTCTAGTTTAATTTTAGCATCTGCCTTTGTGGGATCTTTTGTTTGCATGTACAGCAAATCACAGGTAGCACAGGTATCTGTTCTAGGCTTACAAAAACTTAACTTGGGAAATTTCTTTTTCAAAATTTCAAAGCAAAAACGATGACCCACTGTTCTATCAGGATGAGCTTTCTTGAACGCAGAGACAAGTCTATTTATACTGAGATTGGTAAAATGCAAACCCCTTTTCCGAATTTCGTACACATACGCCACTGGTCGTATCGTACGCGTCATATCCGTGTGATGCACTTCGCATTGGCTAAATCAACAAACACCGATGTCGCCGCGCCGACAAGAGACAAGAGAGTATTCTCCAACATGTTCTAGCGACTCCATAAAGTGGTATTTTTGTTATTGTGGCATGCCTGCTTCCTAG